CCAAGTGATGGAGAGAAAGGCTCTTGACTTGCTCCTAGATTCTTGTCTAACACCTATATGTTAAATTGACAGTGTTAAATACACCAATTAGTGTATCAACTAGTATACTAATATACGGTATGACATTATTACTGACTCTACTTATTATACAAATTACAAATACCAAAATTTTTAAAATCATGTTACATCATCCGTTAATATATTAATTAGTGTATTAATTGATACATATAGTATTATTCATGCTAAATTGCTATAAACAACAAATTTGTTGTTATTAGATGATGATGTTGGAGAGACAATGACTTGTGGAAAGAGTTGATGCCAACCTTCCATTTGTTGGAAATAGTAGAAAAATTCTGGGTAAAATCTGAATTTTTTCTCAAGTTTGGTCTATTTTTAGGTGGGTCCCGAGTGTCGATTTACTCGGGTCAAAGTGGTAACGCATTCTATGTCGCGTTGTGATTCACGTAGTATATTTGGTTGCTCAAAACCATTACTGAGTGAATGGGAAATTGAAGCCAAAGTGTATTCCATAGAAATGGAGTTTTGGTGAAAATTCCTTAAGGTTGTAAATTGGCTTATCCCACATTGATTTGGTGGGAAGTTTTGAAAGGGTTTATAAGGCTTGGGTTAGATACTTAGGGTGTGCCCCAAGGGGTACCCAAGTGTTTTAGAGGGAGAGGTTATGGGCAAAATGGGCTAGACCCATTGGACCCAAAAATCACCACACGCGGGCGGGCTGGGCCTGGGCTTGGGCGCGTGGTGTGTGGTTAGGCTTCTAATCTTTTTGGGCAAAAAACATTTGAATTTAATTTAATTTTTTGGTAAAATAAAATCCAGAATTCAAAGGGCCCTTCCGGTTTTCAAACAGAATTAAACTGGTTTGGATTTATTGCTCATCCAAACAGAGCCCTTCCCGTTTTTATCTGTTTGATTTATTAACCCAACAGATTCAAATCTGTTTAAATTTGAAACTAACAGGTTTCATATCTGTTCAATTCAAAACCAAGAGCCACCTTTACATCTATAAATAGACTAGCCTCCCATTTGGATTTCACTCCAATTTTCGTACTCCATTCTCTGTTTTAAATCTCTACATTTTGCTGCATCTTATTTCTGAAAGAAATAGTGTAAACACTTTGTGTGTTCGACGAACGATTAAAATTGTAGTGCTGCTTTTATTCGTTGATAAAATCATTTTATCCTGAGAGATAGACGTCCAAATTCTGAAAGCACCGTGGAGAGGACGAATCTGTCTAGATCATTTCATCCTGGGAGATAGACGTCCAAATTCTGATAGCACCGTGGAGAGGACGAATCTGTCTTAAGGACACAGTGTTAAACACTGGACTTGATCAGAAAAGTTATTCAAATAAATTAACCAAGTAAGTTGTTTAATTTTATTCTGTTTTTTATTTGTTTATGTAATCAGATTTTATTTTTGTTTTTGTAATAAAATAAAAGCTGTAGTTTTATTTATTTATTTTTATTTCGAGTTTGATTTTTGTAATCAAACAAATTCTCTCCTTTTCTTTATTTTTTTATATTCATGTTGTTGTTTTGTACACAACAGAATTTAATCTTTTTAAATACAGTGAAGATTGTCCAACACCATTTAAGTCAGTAGTCTCACAGCAAGAGAAAGAGAGTGCCGTGGCATCTTTTTATGTCCTTGCTGTTTTGTGGAGGGCTGAGTAAGAAATCCGTATAATTTTGATTTGATTCAGTTTAATTCGATAGATTTAGATTGATATTTTGAATCCCACGATTGAACCTCATGATTCCGGATTGGAATTGATCTGAACTATATACAAATAGTTTATATTTATACTATAGACCCTTCTACATAGCATCATTTCTAATTGCTTTTGTTTGATGCTATGTTATGTTTAGTTTTAATACAGAGGAGAACTCTGCTTTGTGTAATGTGTATTCAGTTTTATTGCTTTTGTTTGATGTTGTGCTTATATTTTTATGAAATTAAAATGTTCTATATTTTTTTTGTTATTTAATTATGTGAATCCGTGATCCTAAACCGATCCAATCCGTGTTTAAACGGATTGGTTCGGATTGGTTCTGCGATTTAAACGGATTGAATTGGTTCTAATTTTTCAGAAACCGTAAATAATGAATTGATCCTGATTTTACCTCAATCTAAACCAATCCGAACCATGCTCACCCCTAATTTTGTGCTCTATTTTATGATTTTTGATTTTCTTGCAGAAGTTCGATGTATTTTCTGATTGTGGCCCGGGGGGTCTTCGTTTTGGGTAGCTGTTTGGGCTTATTTCTTTTTATTTTCTAGCCGATGCTCTTCTAATTATATCTATTAACTTCTTGTATATTTCAATTCTTTGTTTATGTTAATGTATATGCGGTATTCCTAAATATATTAAGTATTGATTTCCTAGATATATTTAGGAATAGTCATAGTTAAATTTCTAATAAGATACTCTCATAATTAGGTTTTTAATAGGATACTCTTTCTCAGCTTATATATACATGTCTTTTATTATATAAAATATATTCAACTCTACAATCATTCAATATAATTATTCAATACAATACATATTATTCCACCTCCTCTCTCACTCTACTATTCTGTACGGGGAAGAAATAATTCTCCTCGTATAATCCTGTTGACTAAGTCCGCGCTCCTCCGTACGACGTCGCTTTGTCACCTGAAAACACAAACGTGAGCTAGCCGGCGGGTGTGTGCCGGAAACCTCTCCGATGCCTAAGTCAGCAAACTTGACAAATAGACAAAGCTCAATGTATTCAAGAAGCAAAAATTGTATGTTGTGTTTTTTGTGTTACCTCCTCCAAGGTGATATTTGTGAGCTTTTATAGGTTTCGAGTGGCACAATCCTAGTAGGACTTCTACTCCTCCATGTAGAGTCCTTCTAGGATTCATACTCCTGTAGGATAATGCTTATCCTTTTACACCCTCCACTGCTTAAACCAAGTAGGATGGTTTTTACCATGGCCGAACTACCATTTTTGACCGACGTAAAGCTGGCTATGCTGAGCCACAGAGTAGGCCGAGCTATCCTTAGTTCGGTTCTCCCTTTACTCCTTCTTACCTCGGTTCTCTCCTGTTCAACCCATGGTATGTTTGGACCGAACCAACGATTCGCGACCGGCATAACTCCAAGACCGATATAACTCCAAGACCGGTCTAACTCCAAGTTGCTTCCGAACCGAAGTAGCTTTACAATTCCTGAGCCGAAGTAACTTCATCTCTTTTGGCCGGAGTAACCTCATCTCTCTTAGGCCGGAGAAACTTCTCGACCCTTTTTTACCTAGTCCTTCGTACTTTGGGCCATAAAATCCATCTCCTAGCTCGACCCAATTTTCACCAAAAATTACCCTCTCATATTCTAACAGTTTAGTTCGTTTATAAATGTAGTTTATATGTCCTCAAAAAGTCAGTAGCCTCTGTCTTCAAGAGTTGACTTCATATAAATAAAATATTTTAATTATCTTTTGTAAGTTAAAAAGTTGGTTATCACAAAAGAGTAAAATATCTATCTTAGATTGCGTTTGGTAGAGTTTTGTAAATATGATTTGAGAATATGAGTTGTCTTTTGAGTTTGTGGGTTTTAGAATTATGATTTGAGTGTGAAAAATTTGTTTGGTGAAAGAGTTTTGAATTTAGTAGGAAATTTTTTATGTAACATATGATATTTGATACAAAAACTTACAACTCATAACCAAACATACAATTCAAAATTCTATTAAAACACATAAAAAAAAATTCAAACTTCAAAAAATATTTTTTTCGAATATATAAAAATTAACATATGTCAATTAAAAAAAAAAATTGCACTGTTCCGGTCAACCAGCCAGACGACCGGTGGGACGACCGGTTAGGTCAAATTTGAAAAAAAAAAAAATTGAAAATCGCACTTGAAACAGAGTTTTCTGCAGAGTTTTGGAGACGTGATTTGAGAATTGGTTCCAAACATGATATTTGAATATGGGTGTAGAATCATTGTTTGGTAACACAACCAAACACAACCTTAGTTTTCTAATAATTTAAAAAAATATATTTAAATTACTTTTTGTTTCATAAATTATAAATAAAACTATATTTTAAAAATTCAAAAAATTATAAACAATTTTAATAAATTACATCAAACGAAAATGATGCTTGAGGCTTGTTATGTTCCCACTCATGGCTAAGTTTCAATGTCCTTATATATATATATATACAATAATACTACAAATACAAAATCGACTACATAATTTATCATATAAATTATAATTGGAACAACATGAATGGAGCAGTCTTTTTAGAGTTGGCTCCATCAATAATGTTAGGATCAAGAATTAAGTTCAAAAAAAATAATGTATGGTCTAAATATCATACTTGTACGATGAAACTTACACCGTAAATAAATTTGAACAATATACTTTTTTTTAGCCTTTTTTTGAGTTTGAATTCACTATCCTTAACATTACTAAGATCTCATTGTCTGATATGTATTGTCTGATATGTATGATCAAGATTATTATTATTATTATTTTTTTTTGTAGCATGTACTATATTGTTGAATTATTGATATATATGTATATTGTATTGTGTGCCCCATGTCCCATGGGCTTAGCCGGGCTTACTATATTGTGCCACGTGGCACATCATCGCTTTCCTAGTAAACATTCCTTTCTCATGGAAAAATAAAAATAAAGAAAAGACTCGTTAAAACCATACTATTATTAGCAAATCTTTGTATAAATAACTATTAATTTTGTTCTCATCTCCTCAAATTTCGATGAGCGTCTAGTTTTTCATTGACAGGTATAATTAGTTAGTTAGTTTACAACAAACCATGCATTGCCATCAAAAAAAATCAACGAATATTATCATTCTCACTTCTTTGTTCTCTCTCACCATTAACATCTTCACAATAGAATATTAGTCAAACTTACTAATAGTTAAACTATTTTCTATATCAATATTTTTTCCATTTCTCTTTGTTTTTTTTTTTTTTCTTTTTTTTCTTTTTTTTTTCTTTTCACCTTCAGATCCAAAGAGAAACTCATTTGGTTGCTCCGGGGCAAAATTGTATAAAACAAAAAAACCTTGACATTGCATGCATGGATGGCCTACTGAATCCATGGTGTTGCATTGAGTTTTCTCTTTTAAAGGTTGTTTTATTTATTTATTTTTTCATGTTTTGTAAATCAGATTGTGTTTGTGGCTAATTTTGTTGTTGGTTTCTTTGTTTCAGATCTGAAGGTCAAATAATGGGCTAAGTTTCAAAGGCTACTAAGGATAAATTTTTAAAGCAAAGAGGATTAATATATTGATCAATCATGGGCACCAAGATGAAGGGCCTTTTGAAAGGCTTAAGATACATTTCTCAAAAATTTGGTTTGTAATTCTCTCTCCCATTGAACTTGCAGATTTTCTTGGTATATTCAAAGAAAAAAACAAAAGACAAGATAAATGGAAAAATATGTATGCATATATATATATGTTGATTTTTCATGATTAAATTTTCTTGAACCAATTTAGACTAGGCTAGAACATTTGCACCGCGTTAGGAGATCAAGGATTCAAATTTAGGCACATAAAATAGCTACGGCCTCTAATGTGCAAAATAAATAAATTTCCAACAAATTTATTTCCCAAAGTTAGGTATGATATTGCTTGTCCACAAAGTCATCTTTTAAAGATTACAAAGAGAAAATTTAAAGTTCTAACACCATCATTCTTGTTGATGCTTTGAATGGAAATCTTTTGGTAGTTAGTAGTTACAATGCATCTTGAGTGCATGGTGTTGAAGCTAGCTCTTAATTGATTAATGCTAAGGGAATTGCCATATGATTATCTTGCAGATGAGAACAAAGAACAAGAAATGACGATTGGTTATCCAACAGATGTAAAGCATGTGGCTCACATAGGATGGGATGGACCATCTGTAGATTCACCAAGCTGGGTAATTCTCCTCTTTCCTTTATTTATTTTGTTTCCAACAATGATCTTGATTCTGGGTATTGGATATGGGTCGGTTTATTTTGGATTAATTCTTTACTCAGAACCAACCAATCTTGTGTATTTGAGTTTTTTTTATCCAAAGTTGAACCGATCATCCATTAGAACTAAGACTAACCTGAGAAACAACCACCTATACAATTAATAGAACCGAACCAATCAAATTCGTAGAGACCGATTTGGGTTGGTTACCGGGGTTTTCGAGTCTCTTGGATATCCTAATCTTGATCATACACATTGATTAACAAAAGACTAGTTATGTGAATATATATATATATATACATGTATATATATGATTCTTGATTATTCTCCAATTACAAATTTGTTTTAAGGATGACCAGACATAAAAATAAAAAAATGAAGTAGTTAACAGAAGACACTTTTCGTTAAAACAAAGGAGTGTTAAAAATGGTTAATAAATAGTTGCTTTGATATTGATTGATTTAGAGTAATGCTAGAGACTTCAAAAGTTCCATCAAAATTTCTACTAAATGGTGTGAATCTTACACCCATGTGAGACATTTGGTAAAAATTTTAATAAAATTTTTAAAATTTCTAATATTTTTCTTGATCTATATGTAAAATAGTTTGGTTCTCATATTCTAATCTCTTACAGATGAGGGAGTTCAAATCCCCCCAAGGATTTCAATCAGCACCATTGAGTGCCAACGGGGAACCACTGATGAATCAAGAAATCAAATGGGTTTCTGAAGGTTTGTTTCTTCATTGATCGGTTTCATGGTATTTCAATATATATATATATATATATATATTCATTTGCAGTTCTGATTTCTCATGTTTTTAAAAACAAAAATAATAATAATAAATAAGTTCGTAAATGTATGGAAGAGATATCTGCCTCACTCTATACCTCCTTGCTTCCAAGCTCGTCTCACTCTATTGGAACTCCGTCGAACTGTGAACAAAACACAAGTGTGCTACCCGGCGGGTGGGTTTGCTGGAAAACCCCTCCGACGGTCAAGTTAGCTCACTGGGAGAGAAGAGAGAAGATGGAGCACTATAGAGAGAGAGATTTTGAAATTGCCTGCCTCCAACGTCTGCATGCTCCTCTTTTTCAAGGCTGGCCATGCAGCCTCAGAGATTGTGGGCGCACTATCTTTGTTGTTCTTCTCTGGAGACACAGTTGTGCTCCCCTCTACATTTCTTATATGTGTAGAGACCAAAACCTCCAAACAATTTTTGTCGCACTGCCAAACGGTATTGACGCATACCAGGAGTGGATTTTTCTCTTCTTTTTATTGGTCCACGTGGGATGCTTAACTGAGCTGTTACTTGTGAACTACTAACACTACGTTGGTTGTTTCGTGCCAAGCTGGATCCTAACCGGTCCATCATAACCAACTGGAGGTGGGCACATCATTCGGCACCTCGGTCACTGACCACAATCTCACGGACCATCTCTGTCTCCACAATCACAGCCCGAGCTATATATAGTTCGGTCGTCACGTGGTTCAACTGCCCAGAACCCAAGTGTTGGGGCAGTTTTGCCCACCAACTCAATCTAGCTCGGCTGGGTTTGGCGCGATGCAACATTCAGTGCGAGTCCAGTTCGGCCCAACAATGTGCCTTGGGGTTTCCTACACGGCCCAATGTACGTTCACACTGGTTCTCGGCCCACTGTTCGACACAAATCTCCCTCTCAATTGCCCCTTAATCCCATCCGAGTTGAGCATGATTGGGATTACCATTACTGACCAAGCTATCCGTTTTGGTCAGTCATCGAGACTTGTGCCGGTTGTCTTATTATCAATCAATCGGTTGTACTGACAACCCATCACTTCGATGCCATGTGGCCTTCCTTGATTAGTTTCGTGCAACCCTACGGCTGTCTCACTATCTGAGAAATTCAAATAGTTAGCGCCCTTTCACCATCACTCACTCATATATACATGAAAGGTCTGCCCCCCTCTTCATTACTGTTCATCTCCTCTGCATAAAACCCTAAACCCTTCAGCTCTTGTGCCGCTATCATCGTCGTCGCTGTCATCACTCTCGTTTCAATACAGACATCATAACAGAGGTCGAGATTGATTGGGTTTCGCTTTGGCGTCCTGATCTGTAAGTTCTTCTCATTGTTATCTCTTTTTCATTGTTGTTCTTCGTGTTCTTCTCTTCTAGGGTTGTTGGTATTCTGCCAATACCCTTCCCTTGGGGTAAAACCATCGAGTGTTCATAGAAATTAGGCGAAATTGAAACCCAAACACAATGGGGATTCCTTGTCCCTCATTTTCCTCAATTTCAGTATGTAGTCTTAGTTTCGGGTATAGCGTAAATTCTGGGCAAAGCCGAGCTAAATCCTAATTTTAGATCCAAAAATAGAATTGAGCCGGGCTAAAACTGGTTTGTGGTCCTTCTAAGTGACTGTGACCGCACTAGAAACCTGTAAGAACATCTAGCCGAGATAAGGGTCAAGGGATTAGGATGAGGGCCCAAAACTGGCCTAACATCTTAGGCTCCACCACCGAGCTAAAACGAGGACCAAGTTAGGACTAGAGCGTAACAGAACTTTTTGCCGAGCTAGGCGTGTTTTGAGAGTCGCGCACTTGACGCCGTGCTAACACTTGCACTTATTTTTAGTAATGTAGAATGAACTAAGACCGATCAGGCACATATCAACATCACAGTCTGTGAGGCTCAAAGACCGAGCAAATAATCACCAGAGCCATTCAATTTTGACCGAGCTATTTATCATACAAAAAAAAATCGGGATAAATGGGGAAGTACCAATTTATGGTTAGTTCTCCAGGCGCCATGGCTGAGTTCCGAAAGGAATTCAACATTCCAGACGATGTCTACTTAGAGTTGGCCAAAATGGGAGACACTCATTGGGGTAAACTAGATGTCTGCCCCTTCACCGTGGTATCTATAGTCGAAGGTGGCCTTCGCTTCCCAGTCCAGCCCCTAGTCTACGAGTTTTTGAGGCAGACTAGGTTGTGCCCAACCCAGGTTTCCAACAACACGTACAAGGTAATAAATGGCATGGCCAAGGCTGAACTGGATCCTCGGTTTAAACCTCGGCCTCGCCGAGATATTCCACTAGTACACACTTAGCAAAAATAAGGGGGGCTTTTGTTGGTACCTGAAGGTTAGAAAGGGCCGAGCAAAACTCATAGAAGGCAACCCGAACAAAGAGTTGAATGATGATGACTTTTTGTGGGTGTCTGGAAATTATGAAGACACCGAGGCACCCATATCGGGCTAGTACATACGCAAAAAATTTGGGAGCGCTGGTGAGCAGTCTAGCATGGTTTGAATTTCTGTATTCGATTTTTCTACCGATCTAACACTTGAATTTTGTGTAGATGACACAACCTTGGCAGAGGATTATTCCCGAGCCAACCAAGAGGCCATTCGAGTTGCTTTGTGGCATCCGAATGAGGAGCGAGAACCCCAAAAACTACTTGGCTACGAACCGAGCTATCGGCACACTGCACCGCGCAAAAGTAAGGTCATCGATTTTCTACGTGCCCCTTCTCTAGACTTGGACCTCTGACAGCTGAACAAGAAATGGCCAAAATTCAAGCCATAAAGTCCATGATCATGAGTGAGCTGAGTGATTCGAATCTGGCCAAAACATCTGGAGGGCAGACATCCCAGCCAACCGCACATGAATCTGGCCTGGTGCTGGCTCTCGCCAGTGAACAAGTTGCTGGCCGGTCGAAAAGGAGACCAAGATAGGCTTCGACCGAGCAGAGGCTGATAGACGAAGACTTCACCGAGCTTCCTCCGAGCGATCAAGGGGAACAAATTGAACGAACATTGGCCGAGCGATCCACCTAATCCACTGCCCCCCAGTCTGGTCGCCCGAGCTGACGTACAAGGGTCGAGTGGCGACCATGTTTGATTCAATCTATGGTGATAAGGACTATTCACTCAGTTTCCAGATGACAAAGGGCTTGCTTCTTCCGGCCGACATGAAGAAGCACGAGGAGCTGTCCGACCTAAAGGTACTTAGGTCAGCTACAAAGTGGATTGTGCTGGTAAGTTATTCCTGCGAAGTTGTGCTTTTCTGTCGCCAAGTTATTCCTCGATTTAATTGCGCTGCCATAAAGTCCATGATCATGAGTGAGCTGAGTGATTCGAATCTGGCCAAAACATCTGGAGGGCAGACATCCCAGCCAACCGCACATGAATCTGGCCTGGTGCTGGCTCTCGCCAGTGAACAAGTTGCTGGCCGGTCGAAAAGGAGACCAAGATAGGCTTCGACCGAGCAGAGGCTGATAGACGAAGACTTCACCGAGCTTCCTCCGAGCGATCAAGGGGAACAAATTGAACGAACATTGGCCGAGCGATCCACCTAATCCACTGCCCCCCAGTCTGGTCGCCCGAGCTGACGTACAAGGGTCGAGTGGTGACCATGTTTGATTCAATCTATGGTGATAAGGACTATTCACTCAGTTTCCAGATGACCAAGGGCTTGCTTCTTCCGGCCGACATGAAGAAGCACGAGGAGCTGTCCGACCTAAAGGTACTTAGGTCGGCTACAAAGTGGATTGTGCTGGCAAGTTATTCCTGCGAAGCTGGGCTTTTTTGTCGCCAAGTTATTCCTCGATTTAATTGCACTAACTGTTTCCTTTCCCAGACCACACAAAAAAATTATCTGGCCCACGAATGCATGGTCTCTATGCGGCAAAGTTTGCGGGAGGCTATAACCGATAACAAGGCCAAAACTTTCGAACTGAAGAAATTGAAGGCCTCTCATGAGATGGTCCTAGCCAAGCGGGAGCTACTGGCCGAGAAGCTTTCGAAGGCTGAGGAAGAGAAGGAAAAGGCCGTGCAAGCCAAAAAACACGATAACTGGCTGAGCTACGCAAGTTCCGCGCTACTCATAAGACCGAGTTGAAAAGGCAGGTCAATGATGTGGAAGACCGTAGCTATGCCGAAGGAGAAAAAGTGTCTGAGCGGCAGGTGGAGGGACCCATGGACATCTTCTTTTAGTACGGCTGGAAGGTTTCCATAGAAAAACTTGGCTAGACGTCAGAGTCTGATATCTTTAATAACCCTCTGCCTTCCTTTATTCCTTCATACATGCATGCGTACGCTGTCGCCGTGTAAAGAAAGCTAATCGAAGCGGCTCAAGCAGCTGGCGCAGTAGAGAAGCCAGCTCAATAGGTAACGAATGAAGCTGCCCTACTGACCATTTCTGAAGAGGTGTCACAGAGCAGTAACCAGGGTGAGCTAAACGCTGTCCGGTTTTAGATTCCGAAGCTGAGGCCATGCAGAATGCCATTGAAGAGGAGGTAGCCGACCAAGAAGATGCAGTGAACATAGATTAGAACTTGGCTTGGATCTACTCATTTGTGTTTTCCTCTCCCTTTTTTTTTTGTTTGCTCATTGTACCAGGCTATGGACCACACTCTTGTAATCGAATTACTTTATGAATGAAAATTACCAAGTTTTCGCTCGTCTTTTACATTTGTCTTCCTCTGTTTTACTGCTATGTCAGAGATAAAACTGCTCATTATTTTGTTGCTGAGATAAATCTGATCGGCTTAAATGTATCGTGTCGAGTCTGCATATGGCCAAGATGACATTTGCTCGCAGTGTGTTAACGTGTCATGCACTTTGCCATTCGAGCTAATTTTCGCTCGGTTAGCTTTCAAATACGTGCAATGTACTAAACAAAAAGTAGCTCGGTTTGGGACCAAAAAGTAGATCCGCTGAGAGGGCAAGATCAACTCGTTTTTGCAAA